ATTATAATGCAATACTTTCAAAGTGTACGATTTGAGATACAATAAAATATTTTTGTTAAAATATTTGCTGACCACTTGAACTTACACATATAGATTTTTAGGCAAAATTTATAATTCAATATTTTCAACAGGAATGCAAATTTTTGAACGCGGCTTGCATATTTTAAGAACTAGTTTTTTTTTTGGAATAAGCTGCATACCGTATATTTATCGTAGGATCATAGGTTTGTTATATACGAGATGATCAATGAAGTCATACAAAAATCAAAACGTTTGTATGAGTGAAATTTTCGCACAAAATGTTTATGGTCGTTACAATACACAGATAAAAAGGATATCTTAACTGAAGGCAAAACGAATTTAAACCAAGATCGCCATGTCTTTGAATAGGGCCAAAGAAATATGTTCTTAACAAAAGTCAGCCGTTTCCTTGAATTTAAGGATCATTAAAGTTCTTAGTAGGAGGTAATATGTATTAAGGCTAAAGGTAAATGCCTTGGTTCAAGTTTCTTAAATTTTTGGTTATTATCTTTGTCCTAAGGATTTAAAACTTGACTAAAGAACCATTAACTTGGGAATGAATACATAAAATTTCTTAACTTAAGTACACGTCCTTCCCATTAAGTAATAAATAATCTCGTGTCAAGCACGAAATCTTTGGATGGTGATACTTATATTCGTGTATTACTTTAGTTTAAGATTTTTATGATTTTCTTTCAATCACATGAAACTTTACCCAAGAAAATATGTTCTTGTTTCAAGAGATAATTTTCTTCGCCCAAGACAATATTTTCTTCGATCAAAAAATATTTTCTAGGTTCAGCAATATTTTTTTTTGATCAAGAGAATTATTTTCTTTGATCCAGAGAATATTTTCTTCGATTAAGAGAATATTTTCTTCAATTAAGAGAATATTTTGTTTATTAAAGAGAACATTTCCTTCAATCAAGAAAATATTTTCTTTGGGCAAGAGAATATTTACTTGGAACAGAACAATAGTTTCTTCGTTCAAGAGTATACAGAGTCGGCACCATATGGGAAACTTTTTTATTATCAGTTAAAAAAAAAGATATTTTCATAAAAGTTCTGCGCGGTATAAAACCAAAAACGCAGTCATTAGGCATTACATTTTTTCAGTCATGTACGAGGTTTGTCGAAATATATGAATTTTATGTGGGAGTAAATTACCTTTACTTTTTACAACATTCAAAATTTTTGTTAAGAAAACTTGATCAGAATTAAAAACTACTGTAAGATATTTAATATTATCTCAACCATTAAAAATCAGTTCTACGATTTGCAAAATTAAATGTATATTTCGTATTTTTGTCAAAAAGCATTAGAGATAAAGTTTTTTAGTAGACAAATAATATTAAATGTATGACCGTAGTTTTCAATAATTCTGGTAAACTTTCCTTTATAACAATTTTCAAAATTGTTAAAAATAAGGATATTTACTCTTGCATAAAATTCATATTTTCAGATGAACTTCGTACCTACGTAACTGAAAAAAAATATATTTAATAGTTGAATTTTGGGTTTGGACCAAGCAGAACTTTTTATGGCGAATACTTTTTTGCATAAAACTAATAATAAAAAAATTCTGATATGGTGCACAATGTCTTAAGATATTTATATATATATAAAAAAATAATACAAAATCTGTATCTTTTTCTGCAGAAAGCAAATCTATTCATAAAAACAATTGAGCTCTCACTTTACTCCTTAGAACTTTCTTCTGCATATAAAACAATTACAAAAAGATACTTTTTCAAACTCTTAAAATAAAAAATCTAAAGGGAATATTAAATATAACGGAATTTGGAATTTATCAGAAATAAAACAAATGAGCAGAAATTAAACTTTGATACATTTATTCTGTTAAAAATTTATAAAAAGAAGGCAGTGAGCTAAACCCAACTAAAAAATAAATAAATAAAATAAAAACTCTTTTTAATAAAACACAGTTTATTCGTGGCTAATGTTAAATTATCATTTAAATATTAATTTAGGTGCAACACAATGACACAAAGACATTGCTGTAGCGCTTACAATATTTTTAACAATTTAAACTCAAATAACTTTTCTTATATTTACAGTTTTTAACGTAAAAATAAGATGATCAAAAAAAGGCTACGTAGTTACAATTTACCAATTACCACGATTATTATTTATTATTATAGGCTAATCTTAAGTTATTACTAATCTAAAAGGAACAAGCAAAATCAGTTATTTTAATTTTGCCACATTACTAAATTTAAAAAGTAATAGACAGATAGCGATGAAACTTTATCTGAAAAGTTGGACAAAATAATTTTAAAATATTTCACCGTGACCTATGAACTACTTTATAACAGAAATAAAACAGGTTCCGTTACCACTAAAATGAAAGTTATGAACTTGCTTAGAATAAGTCATATTATCAAATGATGTGACAAATAAGTCTTCAGCATTTGTTACACCCCCTTGAAATATTATTTCAAAAGCTTGCACATGTTCACAAAAGCCAACAGTCTTAAGTGGTTGCAACATAAAATATATAGTCTTTTCATTTGTAAAAATGTTCTTAATTTGACCAAATTTACTCTCGCAAAGTTGTAACGCAAAGTCTTTTTTGTACAAAATATTGTTAATGGTTATCCAAGACACGCTAAAAAATGTTTTTGACAACTTAAATTTTGTTACTATTTTTTCAGGTATTACATATCGCGGACAAAAGTCTACCTTGGTTTGAAATCCTCTTTTATCTGAAAGTCTACCCGATAATTTCAGCTGTTGTTTAAGGGATAGTGTTACTAACAAATTTTTTCGACAAGTAACTGAGTTAGCGGTTTGTTTCAGTTGTCTGTGAAAAGCTTCATACCTCATACACCAGTAAAATCTTGGTGGTCCTAAATTTCTAATAACAATGGGGTAGTGCAATAGTAAATGATATTTTGAATAGAATTTTCTGCTACATTTAAAACAAGTAAAACTATTTGTAGTTGCGTCCATTATAATTTTAAAATATTATTCTTAATACTTTTTCGGTAAATATAAGTGATAAAAGTAGTAAAAGCTATGTCTTAGATAACCTCGTTGGTAAATAACAATATATTTTACAGCAAATCATTAATATGGGGGATTACAGGATCAAATTCTGTAAAATATTTGTAAAGTTGCCACTGCAATAGATACCATAAATGTGAACATTGGACAGGATATTTAGCGTCTAAAATTTGGTACATTTTAAAACAAAAATCGAGAGCGTCGATTACGGACATACATTTGTATTCATAATTGTTAACAATGACAAAGCTACCTGTAATATTACTTAATGTCGGTCCTATTAGTATTATATATGGTTGAACGGTTAATCCTTTTTTAAACATATAGTCAATTTAATCCTTTTTTGCTTTTTCTAAATCTCCCGGAATTTTGACATGTACTAAAAAAGCATCTCGTGCCTCACTTATCGACGGTTTCCAATTGGTTTTACCCGCTTGAACCTGAGTCTTGGGAGGAACTAATGCTGGTAATATATACAATTTTATTGCTGTAGCTGAATCTACAAAAGAAAAACGTTGTGTTTAGAATAGAGCAAATACAATGGAAATGAATAGAGGGGAAGGGACTTACAAATAATATATTTACCATTTGTTAATTCCCCATCCAATAATTCTAATAGCGTAGTGTCTGTCGCCATTAACGAATTTTTCCTTAAAGCCAACACAGCATCGAAAAAATTGTGAAAATTGTCCAAATGAAAATCCTCTGGTTGACTATGTTTAATTTGAAAGTCCACATTTACCTTAAAAAAAGGCAGTTATTGCAAAGAAATAAAATGTTCTAGATTAATATCGCATACCACTTCTGGAGCTAAAGGACTCTTTAAAATAGGCCATTTTTCTATGAAACTTTCGATGGTTTCCGCCGGTTCCATTTACGTATTTTGTAGGAGTTTTTCCAATGGAACAGTACATCAGACGAAAACTTTCTTAAAAAGACATAATTTATATCCTTGATTTTAAGCAATTAATCTAATATTGAAGTTTTACTTCCATAGAATAATCTTTCTATAAGATTCTAAAATCTTTCTATAAAAGACATAATATCCTTGATTTTAGACAATTATCTTGAATTGAGGCTTTACTGCTAATAAAATAATCTTTCTACAAGATTTCCAAGTTTTTAATAAAAATATATATGTCCTTAATTTTAGGCAATTATCTTGAATTGAGGCTCTAATAGGACGCTTAATTTCTATAAAAATGGCGTCTTTTAATGAATAACTAAAAGCTATATAGATACAGAACATTCTTTAGTAAATCTTCAATATGAACTTATTAATTACAAGACAAGAAATTATACAAACCATTTAGTAAATCTTCGTTGCATATTTACTAATTACACGACAGAATATTTTTAATGCAATAATTCTTTTGAACTAAGCACAATTAATACTTAAACAGATTTTAATATCATATGTATGTATATGTAAGTACGTACCTTCAAAGGCGACAAGCAGATGCCCTATTTTTCATTTGTTTAAAAATTCTGATAGTTCACTCATACTGCAAACTTTTTTTAACAATAACACGCAACACTTCCGTTTACTTCGATATTAGAATAACGACTAACAATAGAATGATGAAACACATCACACCACATCTAACCGGTAACTTGACCGCGTGGAGGGAGGGGACGTGTTCTTCTAACAAGAGAATTATTGCAATTTTGACTAATTGCACATATCAGAGTCTCAGTTTAAGATCACCGAAGTTGAATGTTACATTTTTAAGATCACCAGCCTGTAACTAAGGATTTTATTTGGCAAGAATATCATGGATAAACGGCAAGACGACAAAAACTCTTTTACTAAGAATACATAATCGTCATTCAAGATTATTTCCTTTAGAGAAGATAATCAAGAGCCAAGATAATTTAAAATCTAATATTAAGAGTTGCCTTTTATCTGTGTATGGTTCGTTACTAAGGTAACATCAATATATCTATGCTTTTGTGTCAGTTCTTAGATTAAGGCCCTTAGGTCTTTTACACACTACTGAACATAAAATTTAAGTAGCAAAATTTTTAAAATGCTATAACTTGACATTGAATTGACGGTTCTTGATGATTTTTACAGACTTGGAATTCTTATTTCACGTAGATTTTCTACGGTCTACGCATATTATTTAAGAGGTGAAATTTACACATTATAGCGGTTGATAATAGACAAAACCGTAGCGACAAGAACAAGTTCTTAAACCAATTTAAAGGTTCTTGCAATCATTAAAAAAACACGATGTACTGTAATAACAAAGATTAGGTATGTATGGATAGGGATACCTAATGGTAATTGGTAATTTTTAATACATAAAAAAAATAAGCCTGAAAAACATAAATTGTCTGTCCATTAATTTTTGTTTTGAACCAACTGCGACAAAGATGGAAATTGCAACCTTGCATTTTCGGAGTTTACAATTAAATTGGGTTATTGTTGGCAACGGCGTGTTAGAAGGACGAGGCCATTGAAAGCAACCGGAAAATACCAATGGAAAAATGACAAGTGTCCTATCTTTAAATACCTAATCTTTGGTAATAATTTACCCGAAATTAAGTAGATACATTAATTAGAAAAAAAGAGAAACTAATATTTTATTAGTCCTACTGCTCGACGTCGATTTGGTAGAGTATCCACAAGATTATTTATAAAATCTTGTGGAATATTCTCCCATTCTTCACGAATAACCTCACTAAGCGTTTCTAAGGTTTCAAGGGGTATATCACGCGATCTTACTTTAAGTTTTAAATAAGACCAAACGTGTTCGATGACAATAAGATCCGGAGACTTTGCTAGCCAGTCCATCCTATTGATGTTCTGTGCCTGCAAAAACTCTGTGATCCTTCGCGCTCTGTGAGGTCGAGCGTTGACGGTTTGGTTGGTAATGAATAGCTCGGTTTTACTATTTCTTATAATACCTTCCCACACTGTATTACATCCGCCATAAAATGCCTCTTGAGGGGCCATATTTTCCTTTAAATACCGCTGATTTGGCCCTTTTCAAACTAACATTCGGCAATCGGAGTGAATCAAATTAAATCTTGTTTCATAAGTGAATAAACAATGGCTCCTCTGCATTACCCAAATTCGGATGATGATTTGCCCATGCCCGCCTATTCGCTCTATGGTGTTGTAATACCCGCACATATTTTGCTCTGCGACGGGCTCTATAATTTAAAATTTTTGGCATTATGTTGTTTTGGAAAAAAAATTCTCACCTCGAGTTGTTCTTTTCACTGTTCTGTCCGAAACTCTCACCCCAGTTTATTGCCTTAAAGAGTAATTTAGTTTTCTAGAGTTCTTTGTTCTATTCTGCATAGTTTCTCTCATTAAAATTCTTTCATTTCTTTGGTTTATTTTTTTTTGTATGTCCACCCCCATATCCATAATTATGATAACCAGTTATTTTGACGCAACGGTTCAAATTATAAATTGTCTTTCGGCTGACATTGTAAATGTGCGCAATTTGCTTTTTTGACATTTCTTCGTTGAGAAGTCAAATGCAATTTTCCCTTTCTGCCGTGGTTAAACGCCTCATATTAATTAAAATTTACAAAATTATAACATTGAAATGTGTCAGATTATTTTTGAAATAATGTAAACAATTTTTAATTCCATAGCAACAAATTTGTTGTTCCAATGCACTTTGAAATTGACGCGTCGCGTACAAATTACAGCAGATCATAAATATGGGCATGGGGGTGGACAAAGATCTCTGTAAAACTGAATGACTATTTGAGACAACAAATTAGGGTGAGAGTTTTGGACAGAACAGTGAGAAGGACATTAAATAAAAACAACTTCAGGTGAGAATTTATTTTTACAAAAATTTACATAATACCCCGTATGTAATAAACCTATCGTCCTACGATAAATATACATCATGCAGCTTAATTCGAAAAAACTAGCTCTTAAAATCTGCAAGTCGCGATCAAAAATTTGCATTTCTGTTGAAAATATTGACCTTTAAATTTTGCCTAAAAATCTCATTGTGTAAGTTCGAGTGGTCAGCAGATTATTAATAAAGTTGATTGCCCTCATCATTATCAACTGAAATTAAAAAGTTCTCTAAATTTTTTACCTTTTAAAAGTTGAGGTTTATTTTTCGTTTTGTGGCATAGGTATATATACCTAAATATGCCACTCTCAGTTTGTGTTTGTCTTCTAATTCATGTGTTATGTGTAGTCTTTGTTACTATTTCCCAGCGCCACTTTAGGAATAACACTGTCAATTATAACCCACCAGTGAATGGTCCGATGCATTGGAATTAATATATTTTTTTTTTATTTAAAATAAAATTCCTGCCATCGATGGGTCGATCCTGAAACCTTCCGATCTCAAAGTCGTGACTTAACCACTGAGCCAGCCCACCCCCTAAAATTAGTTTCTACAATATAAATATTTAGGCTCAACGCAGAACATCTTCCTTTTCCTTACATAGTTTTTTGGTTTTGGTAAATTTCGGGCGGTGGCAATTGCTTACAGTTTTACCTCTACCCTTTCACTCCTCTTTGGTTAAGACGTAAATGGACAACATTTACAACAATTTCAGTAGTTTCATGCAAGTATTAATAAGGATTTCAATACTAAATGAACTGTTTCTCTTTTTATGTTGCAGTATCATTTCAAGATGATAAACTTTGTTTACAATGAAAATGTCAATTAATAAATATTATTTCGTAAAAGTGGCTTTAGTACCGACCCAAAACATTTAATTTTTACAGCCAAATTCAATTATGATTTTTTTTAACGGCTCGGTATAAAAATACCGTACGATATGGATTTTATTACTCAAACGGAAAATCAAACTTCAACTGACACTGACACCAACGCACATCTTTGAGCCAAAATGCACTAAAAACCTTAACTAACATTACAAGCGTTACTTTGAAACCTATTTTTACTAGATCCAGGTAGCTGACAACACGGCGGGTGATTGTGGTGATGTTGCTGCGAATGATATTGTTTATTCCGCATAAACCTGAGACCGGCTTGTTGTTGTTTGTGCTTTGGACTCGAATCGCAAAGGTTACCGTCACTTTTCGATGTCGGAATGTCCTTCTTCTTTTCCATCTTCTTCGCATATTCGTGCATGGACTTGCCGAATTCGTACTTGACTTCTTGCTGCTCAACTGATACGTGAGACGATTCTTGCAATGTTGGTTCTACAGATTGTTGCACTGAGTATTGTGGTGGTTGTTCCATTGATTGTTGCGGTAATTTCGAAGAGCCCTGTAAGTTTTGATTGTAAGACGGCTGCAAAGATGATTGCAAAGATGTTTTCTTCTTCGTATCTCTTAAAGAAGGATTTTGAATCGAATTTCGAGTTTTTTCAACTGTTGGTCTTGATAGTCTTTCTAACGAAGCTGATACGCAGTCAGGTGCATGTTGTACGGTTAGTTTTAAGGGTAGATGTAGCGATGGTCGTTCAGATAGAATCTGCTCCTCAGTTTCAACTATTTCACTTATGGAAACTCTCTTTAATTCGGTTGGTTTTCTAGCTAGTATGACAGGAGCTGATGGTATGGAACTTTGAGATACTAAGCTCACCTGAAAACGTAAGTAAATATTTAGGTTTCTCAGTTTAAATTTATAGACCAATAACGGTAGATCATGAATGTATTGCTGACTTCAACTTGCAAACACTCTTAATCGAAAATTAATACATTATATACATTATATATGTTTAGGCACTTAAATTATTAGTAAGCGAGATCTCGGGAACTGAAAATAATATTAATAAAATCTTCGATCGATTACTTGCAATTCACGAGATTTTACTAATCGCCACACCCTGTATATATTACCTCATTATGGGCATCGATTGACTGACGTGTTCTTGGCGGAGCTGTAGTACTTCTATGTCTAAACTTACAAGGCATGGTGTCTTGAATTGATTCAGGTTTCTTATCAACATCTTCTAAAACTAAAGCACCAAAAATATCTGCTGGGTCTCCAGTTGAACAAACGGCGCCAGCAGAATTTGAGCGTAATTCTGAAAAATTTGGATATAGCATACGATTGAATTAGATAAGAAAAGTTCACCTCTTGAACTAGTCTTGACAGGTGAACTGGCTATACTCCTTCTAGCAACATCCTTGAATGTAATTGGAGAGTACACAGCTGCTCTACCGACTTCCTGAATTTGCTCCTGCGGTATAATTTTTGGAAAAGGCTGCTCGATTTTTGGTAATTTTGGGAGAGGGAACTCCGGCGTTTCTAACCTAGAAACAGGTGTCCAATATTCTTTCTCTTGTAACCAGTAAGTCTTCATTGTACCTATACAGATATGTTATTAAACTGAAAATTTAGCAAAAATTTTTATACGCTGATAGAAGTTTTAAAGTACCTGTACCTTTCCCTTTTATTTGTATTTCACCTCGCTCTGAAACTTTGTAAGACATTGGAAGTAGTTGCCTGGTGTATTCGGAAATGTGGACTTTCATGGCTTCGCTGGTTGATTCCATCCTAGATGCAGTATTGACGCTGTCGCCGAAAAGGCAATACCTAGGCATTTTTAAACCAACTATACCTGCTACTACTGCTCCGGAATGTACGCCTACTCTGATTCGAAGATGCTGTCCTAAAAAGAATGTAATAAAGGAAATATGTAAATATAGAAACAATGGTTTAAATGAGATCATAATCATTTAAAAGGGTCATTCCAAAAACTCGTTATTCATTTGAAAAAATAGTATAGAAACAGTGGTCGAAATGAGATCATAATCTTTTAAAAGGGTAATTCCGTGAACTCGCTTGGCTTTTTAAAGGCAAATAAAAGAAATTCAAAAGAGTACAGTGCATGTCATATAGATGTCATTTCCAAAACAGACGTTTTTTTTTCTTTGGTGTCCGGCTTCAACATCTAAGGTGATTAGCCTAGTGTTCTATGTAGGTTATAGATTGTACTAGTAGTCTAGTACTCCATAGTGCAGGAGTATTAGTACTCTAATACTCCTACACTCCTACAGACAGGCCTTGTTACTGTTTCCTTGCGCCACTTTAGGAACAGCACTGTTAATTAAAACCCAACAGTGAAAACAGACGTTCTGTTACGTTAAAAAATGCGTGAACGAGATGGTCAGATTCGAATAAGATAATACGGAATTCAACGTAAAATCTTATACAGTATCGGCTATCGAACAACGCTTTTCAATACGTTTTGCGTACGTCTAAGTGAAAAGTACAGATAGTTAGCATTAGCGCGAATAGGAAACAAATATTATCAACGTAGCCAGTCAATTGCGCGGGGGATATATTCACATTACACAGTGCACAAGGAAACGTTGATAAGATTCATTTTAGTTTTCGTTTTTACCCCAGAAAACCGTATTGGAAGGTGTTCAATAGCCGATACTAAAAGTTATATTTATTAAGAGAACAGACAGACGTTGCAGCATCGCTAAAAGGACATAAACGAAACTTAATATTGGTCTGATTTAAACAAAGAGAACGCTACATTATTTGAAATGTCATAGATATGTCATACAAAACTAAACAACATAAATTTTGCTTCAAATGAAATTAATTGAACTCCAGGCAGATGATGCTCTTGAAAATAAGTTACGTGAGGTTTTCCATGCATAGTCAGAAAGACAAGAGATAAAATACAATAGCAAAATGATAGAAATTTAAATTGTATTTTATTATTATAATTATTACCTGTTGAAGGGTCCTTTAAGTTGGTAATAGCATCCACCATATCCAGTGCCATGTCGCAAACTCTTTCAGCATGGTTGCCTTCCTTTTCCGGGGCGCCACTAACTACCATGTAAGCGTCTCCAATGGTCTCCACCTGGGGCCAGCAGTACGACAAATATTTTGGATTGGTGTTAAACCATTGTTGCAAAATACATAAAAGTGCAGTAATTATACACAAAAACACAAAATAAAAAGAAAATAAAAAAAGGAAAAACAGTGTTTGTTATTTTTTGTACGAAAATTAAGAAAAACAATAATATTTTATATATACAGGGTGGACTCAGAAACTGGAAATAAAAAAAAATTAAAATTTGTTAATTTTTTTACATATCTTGGAGCCTATTCATCTAAAATATTGGACACTATAACGGAAAGACATATTTGAGATGTGTCCCATTATTAACGCATCACCCTATACAAAGTTACCATTATTCTTTAAACTAAATATTACCTAATAAAAAAAATCCATTTTTAAATAATTGATTTTAAAGTTTTCTCAATCTCTTTTAAACCCTAATTTTGAACCCCTTGAATGATTAGTTATCCATATATTTTTGTTAACTTTGCAGGAATAGAAAAATGTTTATTAAGTTATTTAAAAAGACTGAGAATACAATTATTTATATATCTACACGAGTTACATTTTACGCTTGCAGAATATTCAATCTCATGCTAGTAGTTTGTTTGTGAAACGAAGTGATTGATCGACGGTTGAAGGAAGTGCCTCGCTATGAGGACGATAACGAAGTGTTTGTTACATACTTAAAGAATATAAAGTAAAAAGAAAAGAGTGTGTGCCATATTTCTGATAGAAAATGTACGTGACAAAGTCGGCCATTTTGGATAACCATTTATGACTCATTGATTGTTTATGTCATTAGAAAGTTGGTTTTTGTATTATATTTTGCAAGTTATTAGTTGTTGAACCATTTCTAGTCAATAGTAGATTAGTTAATATATATGTTCTAATTTTAGTCCAATAATACATAATCTTAGTCCAATAAATACGGTGAGAAAGACGTACGTTTACTTTTTATGTTAGGTTATAATCATCGAGATCGAATAAAGTAGAGACGACACAAATACTATTTTACGATATGACAGATGGACGCACTTCGAGTGATGGAAAAGTGTAATGAAAATCAATAATTTTAAGCTATTAGTACCTGTTTTACATGGGTGCTCTTTTGGACTTTAGTACCCTGCGGCAAATCGTAATAGGGCGGTGCACAGGCAGAGCACTAGTAATGATATTATATAATATTATTTGAATATTAATAAGTACAATTACAATAAAATTTATATATATATATATATATATATATATATATATATATATATATATTCACACTCGCACTTTCAAATCTCCACTCTTACATTTTCTAAGAATCTGGTACCCTAGTACACTCGAAGCAAAATCTTGTTTGTACCTTTTTCTTTTTCATTACCATTTGACGCTTGTAAAATTTATTGTTAGGATCTTGCTCCTTGTTTTCGTTCGCTAAAAACCCTTTTTTTCCTTAATGAACCAAACCACATCACAATTCATTCGAAAATATGGTCCATTTTACAGAATCTAGTACATTTTTATGCAATCTGGTACATATTTTAGACAAATCTGGTACACAACTAAAATGTATTCTGGCAACACTGATTAGAGTATTAGAATGCATTTTGTTATTCTTGCGTTTAGCGTTAGTAAGTGCATAAGTTTTCTTCTCGGTTTTTTTTTCAGATTTCATTTAATTGGGACGAAAAATAAGACTTAGTTAATGATTGAGAGTTGAGGGTAATGTGGATTTAAATTAGGTAAGTCAAAATATGATTATTAAATATTAATTATTATTTTGGGTTATAGGTACTTGGTACTCAACGTTATTTCTATTCTATATTGGTGGAGTCAAGGAGTTGGAAAATATAAAAAGATGGCAAGTATTTGCTAAAGAAATAAAAAACATTATTTGTACCCCCGTTTTCGAGGGTTCTGAGTACGAAAAAAATAGTGAAAAAAGGTTTTAGGCAAAACCACCCCCGCAAACATTCAAAAAACACCCTTTTTAAATTAGTTTTTTTGCTTGCGAGATTGCAGTGTTTGGAAGAGAAATAGTTGCGATTTTATCGAGGTTTTATCAAGAAAACGTTAGACATGGTGCGAAAGAACTCGAAGATACTGTCCTGAATATTTTGAAATCAATGGAAATACCTTTAAAAGACTGTAGGGGCCAGTCATACGATAATGCGAGCAACATGAGCGGTAAGTACTCTGGATTACAGGCTCGTATTAAGGCACGAAACAATTTAGCACTTTATGTACCTTGTGCCACACATTCGCTAAATTTAGTTGTGCAAAATGCAGCAGACTGCTGTTTGGAATCTATGGCGTTCTTTATGATGGTACAAGGAATTTACACGTTTTTACGGCATCTTCATACAAATGGAACTTGTTATCTCAGTTTATAAAAGTTTCAGGAAACGAAAAACTTTTACCTAAGAGAGTTAACACTACGCGATGGTCATCACGATTTGATACCATTAAAGCCCTAGGACACAGTTACGCATCTATAAAAAGATGTTTAGAGCAACGATCTCAAAAGAAGAAAAAAGTGTTGTGAGAGTTAAAGCGGTTTTTTTTTGCCGAGAAATTATATCTTCTTGAAAATGACATTCTTTTAGCATTTTGGTTGGATATTTTACACCGAAGTAATGATGTAAATAAGGCTTAACAACAAGAGAATATGGATATACCACATCTAACCTTTTATCGTCATTGGCCCAATACTTTCAATATTTAAGAAACGAGTTTGATCAATATGAAGCCAAAGGAATAGCTTTAACTAGCAATGAAAAATACACAGAACGGCGAAGCACTAAAAGAAAGAGGCATTTTGGGGAACCAAATACAGAAGTTATTTTGGATCCTAGAGAGAAAATGATATCGCAGATTTATCCTCCAATCCTTGACAATCTTCAAACAGAAATTATTCATAGATCCGAAGTGTAAAAAACATGTTCAGCTCTTTTCGTCTTTTTGTTTTATTTAAAAAAATTAAGTGACGAAGCTATAGTATTAAATGCACAAAAATTAAAAGAGATATATATGGATGACTTAGACGAGCATTTTCCTCAAGAATGCATTCATTTCAACAGTGGGGAGCGTACATTTTCTACTCTAAAACGGGTGAAAACGTATCTTTGCAATTCAATTGCACAATAAAAGTTCTTTAGCAGTATTATCAATAAATTCAGTTTTAAAAACATTAGATACTAACGAAATAATTCAAACTTTTTCAAATTTAAAAGCGAGAAAGCGACTTTAGTAAAAGTAAATAAAACTCCCCTGTTGTATTTTTAAACTTACATTTTAACATGTTAATCCACAGTACACCACCCATTTTTATGAATCTTCGTGATAATAAAGTGCGCAGCGTGAAACGTGTCAATTGAATGATTGTCAAAATTTTATTACAAATTTTATTACTAATCACCCAATCGACATGATTCACGCTGCGCACTTTATTAGCTATACCACACACTATTAAGAATTTTCGCAGAGAGAAAAGTTGGGCGTTTCGTCTCACGAAGATTCAGCCTATTAGTAATCAGTGATAAAAAGGGGTGGTGGACTGTGGACTATGTTTGATTATGTGTTTTTCGCTATTTGTCTAATTATTTTTATAGTTTATTGCTACTTAGTTTCAACAGTTCCTGAATGTATTAAACATAATATGTCAATATTTTAGAATATGGGCATTAGCAATATTATTTTTCGTTATTTGTTTATTTATTATTTTTATAGTTTATTTTTACTTAGTTTCAATAGTTCCTTAATGTATTAGTGATAGTACTTATTAATATAATATTGTAGAAAACAAGAATGGCAACTTATATTTTAGAGTGGTATTTTGTTTTCATTCCATTTTTCTTTGATCTCAATTTTGTCATTTTTGTTTGTTTTATTTTATTATTTTTGTTTGCGTACTAGTTTTAAAGCTGTTTCTGAACATTATAATAATTATGATTTATTGATGTTGTTACGTTATAAATATAATACTTTTGAATTTTGTAATTTTGTTTTTTTTTTTAATAATATACAAATTCAATAATCTAAGATGTATAAATTATTAATAGATAGGGCGGCGATTACAAGTAACACCTGGCGCAAAAGTACCTTAAACCGGCACTGGAAGCTATTTTAAAAAATGGAATTTATTTTCACCAAAACTGACTAGCTCTAGTTTGACATATGACATAAAAGTGTAATGCAAAGATGCGGACACTTTAGATCAGCCATACTCAACCTGTGGCCCGCGGGCCGCATGCGGCCCTTCAAGCATTTTTTGGGGCCCGAAACACTGTTATTAAGACGGTGCTTTCTGTTTTTAAAATTTTAAGCAAAATGCGTGAAAACATTCAACGATAGCTGCGCTCTAATTTTTAAATAATCTTTTGGATCATAGGATTGATGCAAAAATAAGATGGCTCCTCTTTCGGCATTTTCGAATTAAGTACAAATAATATATGGCATAACCAAGACAAGTTTGAACGAAGTCTATATTTATGGTAAACAAATGGCGAATAAAAACTAATTCCATGTTAATACATTCATAATATGCATAAACAAGATGAGTGGCATTTATACCGAAATATAATCATAACATTTTGTTCATTTGCTAATAGTATGTCTACCAAAATCAGATCTGAGACATATAACTTATTTTTGCTAAATGTATTTAGTCCGATTCCTAATAGTGTTTCTGCTAAAACAACATAAAGGCCAGAAAACTTATTTTTATTTAGGGTATTTATTGAAATACTTCAACAATTTGCCCAAGTCATTTTTCCTAGAGCCGTCTCTGGCCTTTCTCGATTGGTCCGAAAACGACAAGCTGATTACGTCACCCCTTCTTTATACGATACAGAAGAGATTCTCACTAACTAATTTTAAAAGGATGGCGTAAATAAAGGGTCATCAACCAAAAATATTGCGGCCCGTGTAACATAGCAAACATCCCAAGTAACATTTTTAAAATTATCAAAGTATACAAGGTAACCATAAAACACTTTTTTAAGACACTGATAAAACTTTGAAATCCGCGAGATAGCCTTAGGGCTGCTATAAATCTGATTTAAGAGTAAAAAGGAGAATCTTATAACGGTTTTTAGGAGTATTTTTAAAACAATATCTTAAGAAAATTGATCAACTCTTTTTAAATTAGCACGTTCAATAAGCTCTTTACACATACAATATAAAAACAAGTTTTTTTTTAGAAACTTATATATTATGTTTATTGTTAATTTAGTTCCATGCATCATTTTTTTTTTTGAATTTATCATTAAATTATTTATGATTTGCCTAACTATAAATAATAATAATAATAATAATAATAATAATAATAGTAATAATAAATTATTAACTTACTTAAAATCAATACTTGATTGCCTACAATCCCTCTAGGCCCTGGCAGAATATAATAGGGTCACTCTTGAATAGGTACCGGGACATGAGGAAGTGTTTGAAAACAAGAAATCAGACCTCATAGTAAGAAAATAAGCGGAAAAACTGTTATTGGACCAGAACCCACATGTGGTATCTCATACCAACATGTTAAATGGGTCTTAAAGGAACAAACAAATAGAGAACACCATAGGCTATGGTTGGAATTTTCTGGACTTACACAGTTCAAAAGATTCATAGACCTTAGCAGAAGCAAACTCAAGGCCGTAATATGACTCCTTACGGGACACTTCGGCCTTAGAAGACACCTAAATCCCTTGGGAATAACTGATGACTCCCTTTGTAGAATATATGAAGAGAAGGACGAAACTCCTATTCACATACTATGCCACTGTCAGAACCTTAAATGGGAACGGGAATGGTACTTCGGAGTACAACATCCGGAACATATAGAAATCGCGAAAGCGCCCAGCAGACATATTCTTGAATTCATCAAGAAAATCAATCTGATGGGATAGAAACTGTGAGGGGTACAATAAGCCTAGAGCTTCAGTACGAGTGGGCTTTAAACCACGCCCTATCAGATGGATAGAACTTACTTAAAATCTGATCCTATCAAAAGGTATTGATCATTTATTGTATTTTCAGTTTTCCACCACGTGATGAAAATGAAAAGAACAGGATTATAAACAGGATGACTGGAATCCTGACAAAACAGTTTTTTATGTTTCATTTTACAGAAAATTACTTTAATAGATCTTTCTTGTTGTTATACTGCTGTCAAATATTGTACCTACGATTCAAGTGCCTATGATGAAATATGTATTTATTTAGAATTATCTGTATTTATATTGATAAAATTGGACAATCTATACAATATTTTTAAGCTGCCTTTAGTCTTGAAAAGTAATAAGTATCTAAATTAGATAATACATTATTTTACAGACTATTATAGCGTGTGTTAAGAACTTATTTAAAGCAGAAAAAAGATTTCGACACCTGTCTAATAATGAAAAATATAAAATAGATTGTTTTCTATTTTTCAGTTAAGAACCTACAATCCTTTGATTGAACAGGTAACAACTGCCTGTGATATAGCTTCTTTAGCTCTTCCTGGACCTTATGTTTGTCAACACAGTTGTTCATACATATAGAGTTAGAAGAAAGCTCTCTTGATTACCTTAAAAAAAAAGCTCGAAAGACGAATCCAAAACTTGGAAGCTCAAAATCAAGTCAAGAATACTAAATTAAGGAAATAACAGCAAACCGTATGGAGACAAAGGAAAGTCATCAAATATTTAAAGAAAATAATGATGTAAATTATTAATTGATTATGGAAGAAGAAGAAAATGTTGTTTTGGAAAATTTTAAAAATATAAAAGAAATTGTTGAACGACTATTTAGAAAAACCTTGGGCAAGACTGTATCAAAATTGCATTACACTACATTTTATTTCCATTAATCCAATATCAGTAAACAAAATAATTGACTAGGTAAAAATTTGTTAAATCATTAAATATAATGTTAAATTGTAAAAATCCCGAAAAATAATTATCCACTTTTAAAAAACTCTATTTTACTGATTTGTTTTTCTAATAAAAATACTATACTTTTAACCAATATAAATACGATACATCACTGATAAAGACTAATGCCAAGCAACCATCCTCCCTTACCACTTTATATTCTAAGGTTGTATAACGAAATACAAGCTGACCCCGAGGAATGTTTACTTCTCGAAGTTAAAAACTGAAGTGTGTGTAACCAGAAAAAAGAATCGTATCATTGTATGTGATATGGGGGATCTTACGTGATCGAGTGAAATTTTGATAAAAATATTTTAAGCTATGTTTAGTGGGAAAGAGAGTAATGTTGCAATGCAAGAGATAGAATATATAGCAAAATGCACTTTGAATTCGTGTCGTTCAATACGTTTTGAAGAAAATATATTTATCTTGTATTGTATCTAGAGCGAGATGAGATTGTTATTCGTATTTTTTTTTGAATTCGTGAGCTTAAACACAAATGGGTGGAACATAAGCGATTTGAAGAATGTTATAATTAAATTTGAGAATATGGTATGAAACTGAAGCAGCAAATGTTAAAATTTATTAAAGTTGGTCCTTTTCAACACAGAATCCAACGCAAAGTAAGCAATAAAGGCTTCCTTATAGGAACTATTGATAATTATAATAATAGAGCTTACAACTGTTATTTTTGGCAAAAAAAGAAAAATATGTCAAAAACGCTTAGACCTAGGTATAGGAGATAATACATAAAATCTGCCTAGAATCTTGAAAAATCCAATTAAGTAATAAATAAATATTTAAAAAAAGCGACTTAAGATCTATTTCTGGTAGATCCGAAAGTACTTTTAGCTGAATAAGCCTTAAGACATCTAGCAAATTTTCAAAATTTTCCCAAATTTAATTTCTGAGATATCGATTGATGCAGTTCCTGATGGTCCACCCTGTATAAGTATTTATTTATATGGTTTAAAATTAATAAAATTGGTATATTAATCAAAAGATAACTGCACAACACCGTTGGTAAAAGATATTATTTTTAATATTAATAGAAAAAAAAAACAAATCAAATCCTAAATAGCCTTCACCAATTATTTAACATTTTACACAAACCTATCAATTATTTTTTTACTTCTAAGAACCAGAAACATTCAACAAGAACAACATACAGAAATATTTTTAATTTTTATTCATATTTTTTTATTTGAAACTCACTTTGTAGACACTATTCCTTTCGGTAAGCTTATCAAATATTGAGTACATGGCATTGAGCATCGATACCACTTCCATAGGGGTAATCCTGCTACAGATCTCTGTAAAAGTCACTACGTCTGAAAAGAGAATGGACACGCTGTCAAACATCTAAAAAATACAAATAGATTAATAAGTCCGTTAATGCGATAGAATAGATTTAGAATAATCTGAGTAAACCACAATAATAATGTGTGTTACTAGTATAGCTTAACCCATCCTCTTTATGGCTGACCGAGCTTGCAAACGAAGCTAATAAAGAAGGAAATATCCAATAAAATTAGAAGATTGAAAAGTTAACAAAACAGTATTTTGTTTTACCTCACAAGTATCTATTGGATTCTCCCCTTTCCTTAACCTATCGGCTACTTGTTTCGGTATCATCTGATATAATAATTCGTCCGTCCTTCTCATTTCTTCGTCGAGTTTTCTCATAGATTCTTCTAACTTTTTGCTTTTTTGCTGTTCTTGATCTAAGGCTAACTTAAGTTCTACCGATTGTTGAGTTCCGGCTAACATTAGGTCTCTATAATTAAATAAATTTTAAACATTATGGATACAGATGAAATTAAGAAAGTAAAGTCCAGTAACAAATGACTCAATTAAGGATATAGATAATAAAATTAAAGAAAGTGGAGGTCAGTAAAAATTACTCAATCAAGAGAATAAAGACCTGTGAATGGCAGAGTGCAATTAGTTTCAGTAATTACATTTCTATAAACCACCAAAATAAAAAATGTGCCATGATTTTTTTTTAATTGTATTTTAGTAACTTTAAAGGTTAATAGTCCATAGTTAACATTGCAAATAAGTTTATATTTACCTACTAAAGTCATGCATAGAGAGATCATTAATATAAAGTCCAGAATTAATTAAAGAATTGAGATCTGGCATCACTGGTGTCCCCAAATACATCATCATTTTCCAGTTATCCATATAAATCATCTGTCCTACAAAAATATAAAAATAAAAATTGTCGAAACTATAACTAATTAATGAGAGACTTTTAAACAGCAAAGCATTGTTGTAGCTAGGGAGGGGCCAGGGTATGCCTGCCCCCCCTCAATATGTACCTCTAGCTCCCCTGAAAATTTTAAATATAAAACTGCTTATCAAAAAAACGTAGTAGGTGAATTTACTTATATTTATTATATATTTAATTTCCAATAAATTGGAAGAGTTTAATCTTAGCGACCTACAGATGGTAGGTCAATCCTATGACGGAGCTGCGGTGATGTCCGGTAATATAAGTGGTCTCCAAACAAAAATGCTAGATAAATATCCATGTTCCATCAATATCGACTTTGGAAGCAATTTACGAACATTTCTTAGATCCACAGAACCATATCAAATACAAACAAATATTAAAAGACCTCAATATATATTTTTTTTATTAAATTTAGTCGCATCCACCAGAAGGTTATTAGCGATGGAACAATACATTAATTATAAATCTAAATCCCATATAACATTTCGATAGATTTTAGATAGTCAATAATGTTTTTAAGAGGAATATCAAATAGTTTCTTTATGTTGTTTGGGATGTGGTGAGCATTTCGATTGATTTGATGTTTTGGACATTCGATTAAAAAATGATTTACGCTGTTGACGATACTGCACTCTTCACATATTGGTGGGTCACAATTAGAAAATAGATAGAAGTGCGTAAATCTTGCATGACCTAGCCGTAAACGGGTGATAATTATTTGCACTCGTCTGTTTAATGTCGAATATCATTTTTAATTTGTTTTAATTTGGACCGACTATGTTGTTACTCACGAGACCACATACACAATATTTTCTTTTTGAAGAACGATTTAAGATCATTCGCGACACTGTGAGACACTATTTCCGACACCCTGAAAGGGTATCCAAATGATGTGTATGCATCTTGAGTGTTCTTGAGCCTGCAGTAGTTCGGACTTTATCATTTTTTCAATGGGGGGGGTTTTCGGGTATATATGTTGTATTGCACTAAGAGAGTCTGAGAGTATTAAGCTTCTGGAAATATTTAACTAATAAAAAGATTTGTAGATAGCGAAGAGTTCAGAGGTGAAAATGTTAGAGGTTGACGGAAGTTTGAAAAAGAATTTGTCATGAGTTGTTACAAATGCTGCCCCAACACCAGTGTCATCTTTAAAAGCATCAGTAAAAAAACTGGAGTGTACTGATATTTGTCTACAATATTATTAAGGTTGCCTTTTATAATACTTGAGGAAATTTCATGTTCATTATATTGGCAGAGGTCCGTGTTGGTTTGAGGAATTTTAATAATCCGGAGAGGAGGATGGTCAAGATCGAATAGAAATACTTCTGGATAGTTAATCTCTAGGTGACTAAGATAACTTTGAATTCGTTCATAATAATGTTTTGATGTGTGTGGCTTATTGCTAACGTAACTGATATATTTTTTAGTGAAGGTATTATTGAAAAGTGGCTTATTTCTATTAGAGGCTATCGAAGTAGCATGTGATAATGATAGATACATTCTCCGGTAGTGCAGGGATGGTTCTCCAGTTTCACAGTAGATACTTTCAATGGGGGAAGTGCGAAAGGCTCCCAGAGCAATACGAAGAGCAGCATTGTGTAGAGTGTAGAGTGGTTGATCCATATGCAATAGACGTTAATTTTTTTATCTTATTTAAGTTTTATAAATGGTTAGTATGGTATGATAGTCTGTTTGTCAGAGTATTTATTATGTTTAGTCTCCTATGACAGCAAAGTGTTAAATATTTTATGTGTTCTTTCCAGAATAGCTTTTGGTCGAACCACATTCCCAAGAACTTTACTGATGGTTTGAAAAATATATTTTGGTTAAATAACTGTAAAACTGGAAAGATAACAAAAGTTTTCTTGGAGAATACAATTCCAATAGTTTTTGTCACGGAAAAAATAAATTCTGTATCAAGAGACCATTGTTCCAATTTTATCTAAAAGTTTTGCAGAAAAGTTGACATGATATCCACATTTTTTCCTTTAATATAGATTACCAGGTCATCAGCACATAAGCGTGCTTTTAAATGTGTTGTTAAGCTTTTTATTATGTCATTTATAGCGACCAGACACAGTGTAGGACTAATTATTGACCCTTGTGGAGTTCCATTGTCTTTGTTTTGATTTTTCGAAAAGGAATTATTAACTCTTACAAGAAATGATCTATCTTTTAGAAAATTTTTGATAAAAGCAAGACAGTTGCCACAAATATTCCACGAGTGAAGCTTTCTTAAAATGTTTAATCTCCAGCAGTTGATAAAGGCTCTTTTTATGTCGAAAAATATTGATATACAGGTTTGTTTTGTCGCTAGAGATTCGTGAATTTCGCTCTCTAGATCCAAAATATTATCGATCTTAGATCGGTTTTATCTAAAACCGTTTTGCTCGGAGATTAAGTGGCTATGGTTGATTATTTTTTCTAGTAGTTTACTCATGGGTCTGTAAAATTCAGGTTCTAAACGAGATTTCTGATTTTTTAGGAGAGGAAGGACAATAGCTTAAGACTATAGACATGAAAAGAGGTGTTGGTGCCATATTAAATTAAATAGTTGTAAAAAATATGTTTTTGCAGAATGGGGAAGATGTTTTAAAAATATTACTGGAATATCGTCTGGTCCGGTGCTGGTCCAGGGTGTCCTTTTTGCTTTATTGATCGTAAGGTGTGCTGTTGATTTAAGTCTTTTGAATTCTGTCTTATCTTCCAGTGTTTTATGTCTTTTATACTTTTTAAGGCGGTTTTGCTTTATCGGATTACTTCTCGCAGTTTGTATTCCACCAAGTTACAGGAACATGGTTTTTCAAAATTTTAGTTTTTCCAATATATAAATAAATAAGCTGCTTCCAAAATAATTTTGTTGAAGTTCGACAAAGATTCGTCGATATTGTTGCTTATTATGCAGCTTTGTATTTTATTATCTATGTAACTCTCAAAGCTAGACCAATTCGCCGAATTAAGTTTCCATTTTGGCAAGAACGTATCGACCGGGTGGCTAGAATTATTTTTAATTAAAATAGGGTGATGGTCGCTACCATAAGTATATTGGAGAGCTTCCCAGGACAACCGTGGTGTTAAGGCAGGATCACAAAAACATAGGTCAATTGCTGATGATTCTCCAGTGTTATTGTTAAACCTAGATGGTGATCCATCATTAAGAAAATTCCATTGGCAATGTTAGATGAGTTTTCTATTGTTTTGCCTCTGACTATATTGTGCACGTTGAAATCTCCTAAAAATACATGGGAGATGGTATTTGGTCCATAAAGCCTTTCAAGTCATTAAACGTTGCTGAAGAACTTGAGGAATGGTAAATATTACAGATATAGTATGAAGTAGATGCAGAGATTCCGACAACAATGGCTTCAAGATTGCTGGTAACTAAAAATACCTTTGCTTCGAGCGAATTTTTGATCAATGTAGCTACGCCTCCGGAAGAAAAATTTGCATTAGTTGTTCTGTTTTCAAAAACAATGATAGCGCTTTTAATTATAATTTTTCTGTGGATTTAGATTGGTTTCTTGGATGCAGATTATGTCAGGGGAATGTTCGCCTATGATAAATTGTAACATTGCAAGTCGATGAAAGAATACATCGATATTAGATGTTAGTATCTTTAATGACTTAGATGCGATGTGTCACTATCTGATTTCGAGACGTCATTGCCAAGATAGGCAAAGATTTTTCGTTTCGAAGTTGTGATTTTCTCGTCAAGGATGGATATTTTATATGGGGATAGATTTTTAATAACATGTGTGTCACGGCTATCATATCTGAAGTATATTCTTGGACAACGTTAATAGGATCTTAAGAACCAGTTAAATTAGTTAAAAGTAACTGAAGTTGGTTATAATTAAGTATAAAAGGAGGATATTATTGGAAATTCCCTCATCAAAACGAAAAAACCAATCAGTAGCAAGTTCGCTGATTTCGTCACCGAAACAACTGTATGACTAGATTTGATAGACGCCACAAGCTCTAGAGCTAATATCGAAATAATTGAGTATTGGAGAGCAAACATTTTCCACCTAATTATTGATACTGTAAAAGGGTTTCTAAACAAAAGGTTCTCATCAGAAAGTATGGTGCTTGCCAATTCTGTGGATAATTTTTTTCAGTTCGGAATTCATTGAGCAATACCGTGAAATTTTGAATATTAACACTTCTGTCTTAAGGGCACAAATTAAGGTTTTAAAAAATTGTATTCTTTAATTAAAAGAAACTGTTGGTTATGATTCTATCAAAAACACATAACAGAATCAAAAAAAAAAAACATACCCAAATGTCTATCAACTTTTAAAAATTGCGATTATTCTACCTATTTGAAGTGCGTAGTACGAGAGGTAGTTTTCTGCCATTTTTAATTGGTTGAGAATGACATTGACTCAAGACAGACATTCAGATTTGTCTTTGTTTTTTATAGAAAAAGATGTTGATATCGACTTGGACAGTGTTGTAGATTCTTTCAGTTAACAGCGTAGAAAACTTCTGTTGTAGATAATCAGTACTTTTAATATTAATCGTTTTCTTTATAAGTTAATAAATGTATTAAATATATTGAAATATTAAAACCACTATTCACTATTATAGCGTATTTGTAAACATTCATTGCACCGCAATTAAAAAATTTATATTTTAATCCAACGTACACCTAGGTCCACGCCCCCCCCCCTTCCCCCCTCCTGAAAACTGAGGCTAAATATTTTGAATCTTACCTTTCAATCTTAAATTTCTATCTTCAGACACTTCCATTTCATCACTAAGTAGCAATTCTTGCTCTCTTCGTTCCGATGTCTTATCATGTAAAATGGGCTCTACCGTTACTAACTCAAAAATATTGTTTGTTCTATTTAGTATCTAAAATTCAAAATTATCAATAAATAAGGTTATTTATTACCATTGTTTTTATTTATATATGATTCTTACCGATCCGAATTTAAAGGCTATTAAAGGTCTTACGAGGTCAAACCAATTCGTAATTTTCTTTCCAACTAAATCCGGAAGTATCACCATTAGAGAATTACCTATACTTCTTACTACCATGTCTGAGCTGAAATTAAAAAAAAGATCGCTGAAGAATGTAGATATATTGCAAACATTTTTCACTTACCCGAAAACTATACAAAATGGAAATATTTCAAACAGCACTGATGCACTTATTGGTAGATGTTTTTCTTCTCTTGTCATTGCTAACGATGCTAAGGTAAAAGCTCTATTGTCGAAAGTTAGTTGAAATGTGACGTGTACCATGTCGAATAGAAGTTCTTCTCTAACCAGTTCTATTTTCATTTCTTTGTGGTAAAAATGTCTAGCAACCTAAAAATAGAAATCAATAACTCAATATTAAATAAACATTATGTTCTGCTTTTTATTTTAATTTGTTGCAGGTCTTAGCCTCTAAAACGTTGCAGTCTCATCGGCATTTGTTGTATTGAGACAAAATATACTACCTATGTAGTTAAAAAGGATCGACTCTTGAACCGTGCTTTGTGGTACCCCATAATCGACAAGTAAGTTTTTCATTGTTTATTGTAACATTAATTTTTACGGCTTGTGATCTATTATTAAACTAGTTTTCTAATAAGAGAAAACATTTTCCTTTAAGCTCAATAATTTCAAAAGTACCTAGGATGTTGATTGCCTACCGTGTCAAAGGTCTTCGTAAAACCAATAAAAATAAAAGTACGTAGAAGTTTCTTTTTTTAACGCGTGATGTCCATGTTTGTCTATATACAGTATACAGGGTGTCCCATTAGTGCGTTCAATATTTTAATTTATGTTACAGACACGCAAACAAGTTTCAAATAAAACTTGTATGAATTTAAAAAATACGTATTTTAAAATTATTTGTGGATATAGAGTGTATTGCATTTTTGCTTGACAAACGAAAATGTATATTTTTAAAGTTTTAGAGTGGTTTGGTAACTGTATACAATCCTAAAATTTTTCTTTGAAATAATATAGGGTTATGAAGTAATAAATTTTTTTTATTATATTAGAGAACGATGCAGACTACAAAATAAATTATCATAATTTAGGTAGGTATACATTGATTTTAATATACAGTATTAGATGCTAAGCTAACGAATAGTGGTGATAGAACTGGTTTATTTTATACAGAATGTTTTGAAACGTCTTAAATATGGCTAATTTTAAGTTCAATTTATTAAATTAGTTCAAATGCAACATCCTATATCCTATATATTATTTATGCATAAAATTCCTTATGAATCTACCTATTTAACGATACGAACATGTTAGTCAGTAACACATATACAGGATGTACCATCAGTGTGTAATTGTTCTAAAGAGGTTTTATTATTGGAAATACAGAAAAAAATAGTATAAAAGTTGTATGACTGTATTTAATAATTATTCTTAAATATACAGGGTTTGTCAAAATATTTTCCCAATTTTTTAATTGGAATACCCTATACGCTATATCAGCAATTATTTAATACCATTTAAAAAATTGAGAAAATCATGACCTCGCGTTTTGATACACCCTATATACAAGATAGCAAATAAACGAAGACAATTAAAACTGTTTAACAATCTGAAAACAATCAAATATGTATATAACTACCGGCAGGGTCTTTTGCTTTAAAAAAGTATAGGTTTGGTCAGCCCCTCATTTATGGACCACCTTGTATATTTAAGAATAATTGTTAAATATGGTCATTCAACTTTCATATTATATTTTTTTCGTATTTCCAATAATAAAACAGCTATAGATCAATTACGCACTGATAGTATGTGTTATTGGCTATGTTGGTATCATTGAATAAGTAAATCCATAAGGAATTTTATGATAAAATAATATAGAGGGTGTTTGTTAAAATATTCACTAGAGTTAAGGACTTGTCTGCCAGTCAGATTAGATATGGTTTAGATTAAGTTTATTTATATAGTTAGTTAATGTTTAATTGACAGTTTTGAAGGTCTGTAAAAAAATAAAAAAAAACCGCTTCAATAGTTTACCAAGCCATTGGTTTCTTATTTAGCCTGAAAACTCTGCCGATGTTCTACATAATATGGGCCCAGTTCAACTGTCTTCCATAATCTAATCCGTAATAATAGGGTTAAAACGAAATATACTTGCCTAAGTGTCAGCCAATTTCTGATTAAGTTATTTCTGTATTTCTCGAAATACACGTTAAGAACAATGTCCGTTTAATAAGTAGTAGCCTAGTAACTGTAGAAGTTTCAAATGCAAGCTATTCTGCAAAATCACAGTTTACTTGAAGTCATCGACGGCACTTAAATAAAGCCAACAGATCAAGCACAGTTACCTAACCACATGCCCATATGACCATATGGTTATACACAAGGGTGATAAGACACATGATAACCTATGGCGAAGTGGCGTGGGTAACCAAAACTGCGCAGGCAAGTGCAATAGGCCAACTCATTGGCATTCAGCGGCTTGCTGTGTATAAGTGCTACTGGGGCCATGCGCACTACACCAACTGCAGCAATGGAGGTTTTATTAAATCTCACGCCACTGCATATCTTTATACAAGGAGAAACCAGGTCAGCTATTCACAGGCTAATGTAGGGACAAAACCTAATAAGCTGCTAACTACATAGCGCCGACCACACAAGGCTATATCAGCAAGTAAAAAGGGATAATATTTTAGCTATTCCTACTGATAGAGCCATAAACACATACAAATTTGAAAGAAATTTTCAAGTCGAAGACAAAGATTTCGCTGAGTTTACAAAAATATGCAACAGTGTTTTAGGCTGAATTAATAGCCATACAAAAATCTGCAAGAAAAATACTAAATCAGAAAGTATCAAGCAAAACTATTGCCATATAATATGATAGCAAAGCAGCTCTAAAGGCAATTCTCTAACCAGAAATCAAATCACAACTGGTGAAAGACTGTCTAGAAGACCTGGCAGAGCTAATTAGTCAAAACAAGGTGACCCTAGCCTGGGTGCCAGGCCATGAGGGATATCAGGGCAACGAAAAGACCAACGAATTAGCCCGAGAAGGCTCAGATAATGCCATGACAGGCCCCAAACCCTTCTGTGGGGTTGCTAAGGCATTGTGCAAAGAATCCATCAAACAATGAATACAAAAAGAGTCTCAGGAATGGTGGAACAACTATCCAAGACTAAGAAAGGCCAAACCATCGGCCAAGCTCACGAAAGACCTACTGGATCAAAAGCGTCCAATCGTTAGGATAACAGCGGTCTTCTTACCAGACACTATTGCCTTAAAAGGCACATGAGTGTCATCAATCCAGCAAAAGAAGCAACTTTGTGCAGGTTCTGTGAAGAAGAAGTGGAAACATCATTCCTCGTCCTGTGCCAATGTAAAGGCCTGGCTGAAATGAGGTTTATAACATTGGGCGAAGAAAAGCCAAATGCATGCAACTACATACGGGAGTCACTGTCAAAGCTACTAAAGTCAAAGCTACAAAGTCTAATAAATAAGACCAAGCTAGACAACGTATTCTAAACTAAACAAAGTCCCACAATAGATCTAAAAAGGTCGCGGTGGACAAGGACAATTAACGTCCAACTCCCAATCTAATTTAATCTACCTAATTGGGAATATGGTAAAGCTATGTCTATTTTGATATGAGCTTAAGAAGTTGAACAAACCCAGATGGTACTAACTTGTTCAACTCTATGAAGACTATTTTGCACTAAAAATGTCTGATGAGGAAGACGTTGCCAATAATGTTAAGATACCAAGTTGTGGCCCTGGTACTATTCATTTTCAACCAGTGGGAGCCAAGAACTTTAGAAAATGTTCAGTATGTTCCATCCTTGTCCCAAAAATTATTTTCTACTGGATCTACTACAAATAAAGGTTTTTCAATGATAATTGCAAATGGTCAGTGTAAATTGCATAATAAAGAAAACACAGTTGATAAAAATAATCAATTTCACATGTAATTTAGACAATTCTCACTCAGCAAGCACAGCAAAACAAACACTTGAGCAGTGGCACAAACGTTTAGGGCACATAAACATTAAAGCTATAAAAAATATGATACATACAGAGTGGTCTAATAGAATGTACAGGAGATAGAGGTAATTTCTTTTGCGAAGAATGCCAATTTGGAAAAATGAAACGCATATATCATTCTTCATGTTCCAAGCGATCAGTTCTAGTCGGAGAATACAATAATGCCGATTTATGTGGCCCTATAATACCTGTAGGACTTGAAGCAGTTTAATATTATTTACTAATGAAAGATGAGGCAACATCTTTTAGATATGTATGATATATGATCTTTCACAAAAGATCAGTCCCAAACAGAATGGTTTCATTGAACGTGAAAATATAAATATACAAGAGCTTGCAAGAACTATGCTACTAGCAAGTTCATTATGCAAACGCTTATGGACTGTAGCAGTTCGCACGGCTGTTTTGATTCTCAATCGGACACCATCATCTAGAAATGTATCTTCAACGCCGTTCGAAGAATGGTATGGCTGGAAACCCAATCAGAGTCAAATTAGAATTTGTTCTATGCATATCCCTAAATATCAAGGAAGGACAAAATGGGAAAGCAAAGCTAAAAAAATGTACTTGGTTTGCTATGAATCTACATTTAAAAATTACCGTTTGTACGACCTCGTTTAAAAAAAAAATGATTAACTGTGATGTTAACTTTGACGAGGATGCTATAAATTAGCAACGTTCTGATACGTTTTCGCATTTCTTTCTAATTTATCTGAGGACTCTAAAGAAATTTCAGAGAGCAGAGAATATTTGAAAATCTCAAGTACATCCGCAGAGAAAACCAAATACCTACGAAATAGCCATGTCTGCTGATGATTCACCAGACTGGCAACTAACAGTATCTGATCAGCTTAAATCTCCAGATAAAAACAAAACTTGGGAGGTGGTGAAGAAACCAAAAAGTCATGATGATATAAGTTGCAAGTGGATATTTAAAGTAAAATCCAATCCAGGGAAGTTCTTACATTTGAACATCAAGGAATTGATTATACCGAGACTTTCTCGCTCTTTGTACGATATGATTCTATTCGTACAGTACTTGCTATAGCCACAGTTTACGATTGGAAAATCGTACAATTTGATATAAAACGGCTTTTCTGAATGGTGACCTAGAGGAAGAGATATATATGGAGCTACCAAAAGGTTTGGAAGTAGATAACCCAAACCTGGTCTGTAAGCTGAAAAAAGTCTTTGTGGCTTGAAGCAAGCCCCTAGAGTTTGGCATTCTAAGTTCACAGAATTTCTCTCAAAATGTAATTTTATTCCATCTCAGGCTGATTCATGTGTCTTCATTAGATGCATTCTGTAAAAACAAGTAATTCTTCGACTATATGTTGACGATGGTTTATTGTTGTCATCTAAAGAAAATTCTAGTCCTAAAGATGTTGCAAGAAAATTTTGAAATGACATTGGGAAAAGGAGATTATTACGTTGGAATAAAAATTAAAAGAAACAGAAGTAAGAAAAAGATATATATTTGTCAAGAAGCATATACCAAGAAAGTAATGAAAAAGTATTCGATTACTACAGCAAAACGTTACCAATACCCGTCGATCCTTATTCATTTCTTACAAACAAGGATAAGGAAGATGCCAATTTTCCTTACCGAGAATCTGTAGGATCTTTAATTTTTCTAGTAAATCATACCTACAGAAATTTTTATCGACAATCAGAGTACGATTATATTAATTAAAAATTCTGGCATAGAACGGAGCATATTGACTTTAAACTACAGTGACTAGCAAGAGGAAATATTAAAATACTAAGCTATTTACTAGAGGTAAGGACTTGTCTGCTAGTCAGTTTTAGATATGGTTTAGATTAAGTTTATTTATATAGTAAGTTATTGTTAAATTGTTAGTTTTGAAGGTCTGTAAAAAATAAAAAAGTATGCTTTTAATACTTTACCAAGCCTTGGTTTTTTATTTAGCCTGACAACGCTGTCGATGTACTACAAAAGTGCATTTAAAAAAATTCAGTAAATTGGATTTAAAATAACCTTATTTAAGACCTTTTTTAAAACACTTTGTATAAATTAAACCAGTTCTATCACGATTACTCGTCAGCTCAGTATCTTATAAGTCTGTACACTAAACAATTTTGAAATCAATGTAAATCTACCTAAATTATGATAATTTATTTTGGGATCTGCATCGTTCTCTAATTTCATAAAAAAATTAATTGCTTGGCAACCCTTTTTAAAAGAAAGAAAAATTCTAGGGTTAAAAACTGAAATAAAATAGGTTTTAAAAATATATTTTTTTTGTAGATAAGAAAAACGCAACATTCTGATCAAATTTTATTTTTTCAGTAAGATTATTTTCGATTTCCATAAACCTCTTATTAAATTCGTTAACAATTTCTACAAAATCGGTAAGCATATCGCCACTGCTTTTCTCTTTGATGGAACTTTATTATTACATTTAATTAAATTTGTATAACGTCCCATAAATGCTTTAAACTATTAGCATTTGTTTCTATTTGTTCTTTGTAGTAATTAGTTTCTGTTTGATTTAAGATGTTTGTTAGTATATTTCTATTTAATAAATACTTTTTTTTTTTGGTAACTTTGCAGTTTTTTTAATAAAGTGAATGATTGTCCTGCGTACAAAAGAGCAAGGCTATGTAAAAGAATAAACGTTTTTTAAATGCATAAAATAATTATGGGATATAATTTAATTCAGCTGTGTTTCATAAATCTAACTGAAAAGGATGGGTGGCACAAAATTGATCGAAAAACATTTGATCGAATTGGAAATTTGATCGAAAAAACCTTTTATCGAATGGTACTTGATCGAAAAACATTTGATCGAAGATATATTTTATCGAATAACATTTTATCGAAAAGACAATAGATCGAAAATACATTAGATAGAAAGGAAAATATATCGAAAATTAACATTTATAATAGTAAAATATCAAAAAATCAAACGATACCATGCAACCATCCGTCTAATCCCTACTACCGGAAAAACTAAACTCTGCGGCTATCAAAATTAGGTACTAATGGCAAATTTTTAGAATAATCTCAAACGTTTACCAAATTTTCATCCTTACAATACCGACCGCCGGCGGTGCTTGGCATTTGTTAAAAAGAAAACCGTCTTCCGGTGGCATATGGTCTTCTTCATACAGGAAAGCCGCCGCAAATCTAAACTGATTTGTTGATCAGGGCGGCATGCTATCAGGGAATTGAAGAATGCCGCCTGACGACGGTCTACCGTATTTAAAACATTGAATGCCGGTGGTAAGAAAAATACTTGTAAAATCGTCTACATTTTTGTGGCAAATGATCATATGTCGTACGCCTTTTATTTGTACATCGGTCTCCTTTTGACAGGGTAGATGAGCTGTGTCCAGGCCATGGGCGTCGTTGGAAGTGGGGGGGTGGGGGGGGCAAGGAGGGGGGCAGTTCCCCCTCCTGGCTTTTACGGCTTAATCAACAACGCATAAGATATGAATTACGAACAACAATCTCATAGAAATAATATTCAGGCTAATATAGTTGAAGAATATTATAGGTTGAATATATTTATTGCATATCTGGGTTCCGCTTTTCCGAAGACTTTGTTAGTTTTTCCTTAAGCATGTTACATCCCAAAAACATAAAAAATTCTTTTTCCACTACCGATAACAAAATGAAAGTGGTAGAAAAATTTGGAATCGACAATTTTGAAGCTGAATACAAAACTGGAATACGAAAGAGCTTTCTGCACACAATGAGCTCTCCATTAATGATATAGCGTCCAAATATTGTGAATTTTATTCAGACATACGAAATGGTTTAAAAAATATTTATGGCTCTTCCAAAAAACGACAGAGTTAATCGAAAGAACGTTTGGAATGCTAAGGCATGTTAAAACATGGCTGCGGTCTATTCGATCAGTGAGAAGTCATGGTAGGGGAAGCGCAAGCTGCGGATAATTCGAGTATTTTAGGGCAATATTTTGTAATTTTGGTGTATTAAATACACGTAAACATTTTACTTTTTATTAAAAAAATAGGTAAAAACAATAAAATGAGCAACCGGAGTTGCTCTGTTGCAAATTATACTAGCAAAAAGACTGTAAATTATATAAATATTCAGTATCAAAATCGAAATTAAATAAAAGAAATAAATGGACAGCTGTATAATAAGAACAAAAAAACTTTTATTTTTGTAATAATTAAGCAATAAATTCTTTTTTATGATATTCTTTAACATCTCTTAAATCTTAAGTAAATGATTAGATTTCTGCCTTATTGTATATGGCTGACATGCAATCTTGTGACTTATTGATAGGAAACCAGTTTTATTCATTAATTTATATGGGTTCTTTCGAACTAAAAATGAAGAAAATATAAATTACAATCGCAAATATACCAATTATTTTTGTTATTACGTTTTAATTCTACGTTATTATATAATGGTAATATTTTTATTTTGACATTATTTAACCTATTCTTCAATGACAACTTATTATACTTAGGCAAGATCTCTATTTACGAGAAAATGTAAATGCCTGCCTATGTTTTATTATTGATTTTTATTGAGTTTTTTTTGCTAAAGTAATAAAAATATATAATAATTTTTTCACTTGTTTGAAAATTAAAGTTAACATATATATTTCTTAATTACGAACTCTATTAAAAATTGTATTGTCAGTATACGCAAATATCGTCCTTTAGTTCATAAAATAGTTGGCGTTGCTGTCACGCACGGAGTAAATAATGAATGAAAATAGGCTGACTGAAAAATAAATAATGTTTTGCGTTATCGATGTTTTTAGTAGAGATTTGCGTTTTCCTAGTGTTTTTTTGTATTCATTGACATATTTGAGTGAGTTTTTTTATGTTTTTGTTTTTTATAAATTTTTATTTTTAATATTATGTTCATATTTTTCTTTTATGTCACACCTTCTGTTTGTTTTTTAAAAATGTGCTTCGTTTCTTGTTTTTTTTTTAATTTTAGTTTTTGTCTTTTTTGTTTGGTTATTTTATTTATTAGAGACTTGTTATGATAACTTAAGTATCAGTTCTGTCAAATGGGTCAGTGACATTGTTAGGGTTACTACTAAAGTTCCACTTCCCTTATCTTCACTAATCAGTGAGATATCTGAATAATTATGTTCTGTTTGAAAGACTGGAACAAACACTTTCTTATGATTGATTCAATTATTCTGTGACGTTAAATGGAAACCCTCTCTTTTATTGTAAATTTAATAATTTTTGTATTATAATAATAATGTATTGAAAATTTTCTTTCAGCTGTCAAAATGGCCGCCATATTGGATAATATTTTTTCTAAACATGTCTTTATTAATTCGTTTATGGAAAAAATATAGTAATGTACGATCTTTATAAAATCTTTGTAAGCTTCAGCATTTCCATTGAGACCCATTTACCGTATACCAGTGGCGTATTTAAGCATTTTTATTATTAGCAAACCGTTTAATAATTCCGCTTTTATCTTCGTTGTTAATTGAGATATTGGAAAGAAAACTTTTTTGGTTAAAAGCTTAGAACAAATACTGTCATATACTGAATTCAATTGGTGTGTGACGTCATGGCTTACTTCTGGTTTTTCGGAAATAACAGAAAATATCAATTTATTTTTAATTTTTAAATAGAAACCCCCTTTTTTATTGAAAATTTGAATTTCGGGAACATTTATGGAAGAGAATCATGTGTTGAAAATTTTCTGTCAGCTGTCAAAATGACCATCATATTGGAAAATACATGATTTTAATATGTAACAGAAAATTTTCAATACACGCCCCAAAAATGTCCAAGAAATTCAAATTTTCAATAAAAAAATGGTTTTTATTTAAAAATAAAAAATAAATTGCGATTTTCTGTTATTTCTGGAAAAGCTGTAAGTAAGCCATGACGTCACAGAAAAATTAAATCCATCATAAGAAAATTTTCTTTTATTTTTCATTTCTTTTGTTTTCCAACAAATAAACATTCTAAAATTTTTTCAAAATTTTGCCCTCTCCTATAGAATTGTGTAACGACGCCCATGGTCCAGGCCGTTGGTGTTTATGCTGGTCGGCGTAGCCAGCAATTACAAATGATTGGTGTTGTTTAATATTTCAAATACAGTAGACCATCGTCCGGCGGCCTTATCAATACTCTGATAGCCTGCTGCCCTCATCAACAAATCAGTTTAGATTTTCGGCGGCTTTCTTATATGTGAGAAGACCATGCCGCCGGAAGACGGTTTTCGTTTTTTTAAATTCAACTACCGCCGGCGGTCGGCTAGCCAGTACGAAATTATTTTAGGTGTTTCTGTATAAAAAAATTGATTAATTTACCTAACCTGTGCGACCTGGAGTCGTCGCGGTTTGCCTAGCAAAAAAATTACAAAAAATGAGAAAAATTAGGAAGATAAAAAATAACTAATTTACATAACCTGTGCGGCCTAGAGCAATTTAATTTTATCTGATTGCTCTCGCACAAGTTAGATAATTTGATTAAGTTTTTTTTTATAACAAACTTAACTAACTTACCTCACCTGTGCGGTGAATGTATCGCGGTTTGCATCGCAAAAAAAATATTATAAAAAAAAAACAAGAAAACTAAAAACTTAACTAATTTACCTAACCTGCGCTATTTAAATTTAACTAATTGCTCTCGCATAAGTTAGGTAAGTTAATTAATTTTTTTTATTATGAAAAATTTAAGTAATTTACCTAACCGGCGCGACCTGGAGCCGTCCATGTTTGACTTGCAAAAAAATTATAGAAATTTATGAAAAAAAAAACAAACAAAAATTTTAACTAATTTACGTAACCTGTGCGGCCTGGATCAATTTAACTGATTGCTTTGACACAGGTTAGGTAATTTAGTAAATAAAGTTTTTTTTATAAAAAACTTAACCTACCTAACTTGTGCGGTCTGTAGTCCTCGCGGTTTGCCTCGCAAAAAAAAGTTAGGTATGTTAGTAATATTTTTTTTTAATTTTTTGTATATTTGTTTTTGCGAAGCAACCAACGATGATTTTACGCCGCAGAGGTTAGGTAAATTAGTTAATTTTTTTTTTATTTTTCTTTTATTTCTATAATTTTAGGTATATTTGGTTTTTCGTTCAATTGCTTTTTCTATCAAATCTATTTTCGATCAATTTTCTTTTCGATCATTTTTCTAATCGATAACTTTTCGTTCAATTGTTATTCGATCAAATGTTTCTTCAATCAAATGCATTCGATCAAATGTTTTCGATCAATTTTTTGCCGCACGAAAAGGATGTTCTTGTTTGCCCGATATATCTTTTTCACAAGCTGCACAACTAATTACACAATCTGACACAATTGAGGGGTTTCTGGGAAAAACAACACAAGTCACTTTTTGCTAAAATTGAGTTGGCAGCGCTGTTACGTTCCTCATATTTCAAGGCAGCTCTCTGATGTTTAAATTTTCCGTACAAGGCACATACCTCTGTTTAAAAGGCGTTCAAAAAATCGCCGGTTCCACAAAAACGACAGTTGTCAAAATGTGTTTCCCATAAAATCAACAAATGTCATTGATA